CGATGTTCCTTTACTATTTCTTATTCCTTCCTCAAGAGTCAAGCCCTATTTCTACCATTTACAAAACCTTACCTTCCAAAACACTTCAAAACAATTATGGTTACACACTTACACTACAATAAACTAATGGTTCCATGTTTCAACTATGTGGAACAATAATTTGTCCACACAAATTAACAAAAGAACAAAGAACAGTAACATTTATCTTAAGGCAACATTGCTATTATAATTATATAATATTTCAATTATAAAAAATCATTATAATTATAAAAATAGTTATATAATTCTTATTTATCTATATATTTAATATCTTTTTTATATCTTAATTACATTTTTCTATTACATTGATTATATTAATTAATTTCTTTTTGACAAATGGGTCGATAGCTTTTTAATATTAGAATATAATTATTTATTAAAAATATTAATATCTTTTAAAAAAATCTGAAAAGAGCAAAGGCGTAGCGCCTGGCGCCTAAAGCCTGTAGGCGCGCGCCTCCGACCACCTCCTGTAAATCGCCTCACCCAAACCCAGGTGGGCGCTACCTCCATTGCCTGGCTGCGCCTCGCGCTTAGGCGCGCCTTTGAAAACCAAGAACATAAACACATTACTTTAACGTTTAAACAAAAAATATGTCATGAATATTGCTACATCATATTGAATAAATTCACTACCGTATGTGGCAGGAAAACATGACTCACACTGAGCATTTAATTTGCTGATTGAGAAATGATAATCAGGTAGATGAAGTAACATGGGAAAGACCAAGTGGATAATTTAACAAAACAATATGTTAATTGATTAATAGACCATATAAGCCGTCATTCATGCAACAACAAACTGAACTACTGTTCCATGTACTTGGATAGTTTCATCTGGACACCTTGAAATAGAAAGATTATCCACACTTTAGACATTGAAGTTAATGCTTTCTTACTTAATATCCTTCAGGGAGATAAAGGATTGTACATTTGGGGTTAAATGATGCAGCCTAAACCAGTCAAAAATGGGAAGAAAAGGCAACAAGCGCAAAGGACCTTTTTTTTCTTTCAAAACTGGAAATAAAATCCACTAAAAACATTCCCCTAGAACGGAAAAGAAAAGAGAATATCAGTGAGCATATAAAATGTTGTCAGCCTAAAGATTACAATAAACAATTCAAAAAGCCTAGCATGTCACAACATAAATGAACAGGAAACAAAAGGAAAATGCAAACGGCATTCGTCGAGATAAGGGGTATCAAAATTAAGGTAATGCGACAGTAACCATATGATTGGTCAGTCTTTTCTCATCTGAAATTAAATTTACCAGAATATAAAGGTCCCTTTTTAAGTGCGAGCATCAGTCAACCTGGTAGGTGCAACTTTACATCATTGTTATTAAATTGATTCATCACAAAATGAAACTAAATTAAAATTGTCACCCTCTAGAATCAGATATTTATTTTCACGAATATGCAAATAGATGTGGGTGAATGCAAATACAAAAGGTAGCAGATTTGTTCCTCCTAGGTGAACTAATGAAGATGGAACCGTTTTCAGAGGAGAGGTTTACCTGATGACAAATCTCACAAGTTATATCACCTTTCTCGTTGCACCAATGCTGAACACACTTCCTGTGAGCGAACTGGATAATAAAAATGTCAGCTAATGCTATTTAACTTCAAGAATATGAAGATAAGCCAACGAAGCTATAGCTTAATTAAAACAGAAGTACTTCAAAGTTAGAAGGAAAATCATCAAGCTCTTTCTCCGCATCATGTTGACATTCAAACATTAGCCCATACATCTTATTAAACAACTTAGAGATAATAGAAAGCCATCGTCACGGCAGAGAGACTCTTTTACCGAATAAATTGGAATAGGAAGTTTCGAAATACCCCAAAACAATGAATACCTTCAAACTCCCGCTACATGCACAAGGTGTCTCTAAATTCTTAATGCTGTCCTCCTCCTGACAGATTCGGCATTCAGCTGTCTGTATAAGTGGTTCTTCTTCATCGCAGGAACCATGTCCTTCCACTTCCTTAACACCAATAACACAAGCATCAAACTCGGAGGCTTGGGAAGTGCCTTCACCAGAAGATCCTGCAGCCTCAGTTTCTTGCATTGATTGCAAACTTTCAGGTGTTATAAGACGGTCCACGCATAAAACTAGATGATCACCCATTTTTATCAAAGATGAGAAGGTCCTTGTAACACACAATAATGCATCAAAAGTTTCAGTTAGTCAGAATAAAAGTTGAGGCTTTAAACGCGAAATTTACTTCCAAAATTAACGCTAGATTTAACTGTCAGGAATATAATGAAACTAAGTAAGATATAATAAATCAAAATCTCATCTTTTTTCTTGTTTGTGTAATTACTGAAACCCCTTGGATATGAACTTCAGATACTGTGAAATTTCCTTTCTCATTAACTCTCTTGTTTTATTACTTATTTTCATGTAGAGTTCAAAATTTCTCTTTATTTATTTCTTAAAATTTCATCCTATAGGCTACAAGCTATACCCCCAAAACTAATATCGAAATAAATATTTTTTATAAAAAAAAATAAACGAACTAACCCCAAAGGTTTCAGCTTTAGTTATCCGGGGGGGGGGGGAGAGATTTCCAGCTTTTGCTCAAAATTTTCAATTTTCCACCGAAAATGAAAAGGGACGAGAAAACAAATCATTTGCATTTTCTGGGCACCCAAACAATCCAATACAACCGAACCCAGACCAAAATTCCCAAATCCAAAATCAATTCAAAACCCCAAAAAAGAAAATACCAGAATCATGATCGGAATTGAACGAATCCATCGACTGAAGAAACAAAACATAACAGCATAAACAAATTACCCGTAAATGGCGCTTTGATGTTGGAGTCCGAAATGTTGTTTTCGCTTATCGTTTTATAAAAGCTTTAATGAAGAGTCGCAAGTCTTTTATTTACCTTGTCTTGGAAATGAAACAAATTTGACAATAGAGAATTTCTCTCTTTTTTCACATAAAAATATGTATACTTTTGGTACAAGTAAATTGAAAAATATATATTAGAATTTTGATAGACACATTGATGGGGCGGTTTCAACGAAGATTTTGTAGTTTGGCTAAAACCAAAACCCGAAGCTTTGTGGTAGAGGTTAACGTCCGTCCAACGACAAGAACTAGTTCGTAATTTCTAGAAGTTTGTCGCCGTTTGGTTATTTAACCTTTCCAGATGACGGGCGTCAAAGGTTATGATCGGAAATTCCCTTCTTTGTATTTCGGACAAAGACAATTAATATATGTCGGCAAAATCACGAGTGGATAAGAGAAATTTTCTTCTCTCCTTCTAAATAAATAAGAATATATGTTTTTATTTGCAAACTACTCAAATTAAGAAAATAAAATTCCTTAATCTCTAACTTTTTATTTGATTATATTTTAATTCATTATTAATTTTAAAAATTAAATCATATAATTTTTTCATTTTATTTAACTGTTTCTAAAATATTTATTATTTTAAATTTAAATAGATTTACAGTATGCCATTTTATCTAAATTTCACTAAGAGTATATTATCACCTATTAGCTTATAGTATGTAAGCTTCTAATTCTGCGAATTTTGGATGTATGAACCTAAGACTTATAAGAACTCTTATATATGCAATATATATCTTATGAACAACTAGCAACGATCACATGTCAATCACCTACTATCCCGTGAACACTGTCCGCGTACGATTGGCAACAACTACGAGTGATACACGTGGTCTCTTTTAATGACAAACTAATCTAATGTGCGGACATAAGACTCATGCGAACTCTCATATATACAATGTGTATCCCATGAACTACAAACAATGATCACAAATCAATTACTATTATCCCGTGAACAATGTCCACGTACGATCACTAACAATTACGAATGACACGTGGTCTCTTTTGATAACAAGCTAATCTAAAACATCACTTCTTCATACATCTAATCAGCAGCAATACCACAATAATTTACAACCTACACATTTAATCTACACATGTCCAAAGTATTATAAATAATAATGCATGATAGAATAAAGAGACAAATATATTTATTCTTCAAAATACCAAACCTATATTATCAGATAAAACTTTTAACCGCCATCTATGATCGTTAATTACGACGTCAACAGAATTTTACTAGACGTCGACAAAATATTATATAATACTATTATTTAATATTGATATGATTTGAATTTAAAATATTTTTACTCACCTTCAAAATTTAATTGAAAATTTGTCTTAATCTAATTTAAAGTATTATTATAAATATATCATTTGATCATTAAATATTAAACGAAATTTAATGTGACCTAAAATAATAATAATTTGAATCTCTAAAATTTATATATCCTATCAATTAGTCATAATTTAATAAATTTATTCTTTTTATATTAAAATATCTCTTAATTTAATCATTATTATTATTTTAAATTACTTGTTTTTCATATTTCATTATCATCCTTTAGCATTAATTAAATTGTTTTGTTACTAGTATTTTATCTCAACTAACTTTCTTCCATTTTTTCTTGGTTGAACTTTAATACTTATTTATCTCTTTCAATTTTTTATAATATAGTATTTTTATTAATGTTCTATCCATACTCTCTAATTTCTTTGTTTAGATTTCTTTTTTATTTTTTAAATTTATTTAAAAAAAATAATATTCTACTGATAATTGAATATTTTTATTCTATCCATACTCTCTAATTTATTTGTTTATATTTATTTTTTTATTTTTTAAATTTATTTTAACAAATAATATTCTACTAATAATTTTCTATCCATATTAATTTTGTTAATATTTTATTTTTTTCTCTTCCAATTATTATTATACTAGGTCAGATTATACTTCTATTTAATATTTAACAGGTCAATGGTATATTTGTAATACTTATTTTAATTAAGTAATTAAATTATAATTTTTAGAAAAAGGTGATCATTTTGTAACAAAACTAATAATTGAAAGACATGTAGTGTATTTTAACCATTAAGTTTTTATTATATATTTTTAATGTTTCCCTCGAATCATAGCAAAATTAACAAATCTTTTCGGTTTTACTTCTCTTTCGCCTCTGCTGCTTAGCAGCTTATGTAGTCTCTCTCTTCCTATCTGCTATTAGTCCCTAATATTTTCCTTCAAATCTGTTTTTTTTCTTCAATATTATAATTGTGTTTTCTGTTTATTAACTTTTGATTAATTGCTTCTTGGTTTCTGATCTGAATAATCGATTTTGTTTTATAATGATTTTAATTGCAATCTGTTGTATGTAACGGGCTATTAGATTTGTAGGTAATTTCTGGAATTATATTTGATTGTTTATGCGCTGTATGAACTTATTTACTGTGGACTGTTACTAGGGTTCTGTGGGAAAGCTGAGTTACGGAGGCAAATTTGAATTTGAACGTGTACTGTTTACTAACTTAGGGTTATTGAGACGGTACACGTTGGTAGTATTGATGTTGAGAAAAGGGGGGTTTAAAAAAATAAATAATGTGTCTGTGGAATGCTAATTACCATGATTAATGAGGAGATTTGTTGGAATTTTGGCCAAGACTGTTTTTTTGGTTGTTGTTTCTGCCGGGAAAAAACTTCTGAATAGTTGAAGATTGAAAACAAAAATTTCTAAAACATCTTAAAGGCATGATTTTTTACTTTTAAGGGTTTGCCAATGAGTGCCCATAGGGATCAGTTAGTTAATATCCTATTTGTCATAACGTAGGAGTGCCTACTCTTTTCTATATTGAAGTTGTTTAAGTGAATGCAATGAACTGGTTTTACTACATGTGATCCATTTAATTTTGGTTCCCTTAACCATTTTTGTTTACTGTTTGATTGATCGTGTCATATAAGTTTAGACGGTCAGAAGTTGTTTTTTGTTAGGTTGGTTGTTCACACTGAAATCCTTGTGCTCAATCGTTCTGTTTACCGGACATGCCTCTGCCATTTCTCAATGCTGATCTGACAATGGCATGTTTTTCCCAAGAAGATATCTCAAACTATTTTCACACGCATGTGCTGTTGAATAGTTTTTTGGGTGTCCTTTTCTGAAAACAATGCAGCTTACAGTATGCCAGAAGACGAGTACCGCTGTCTTATTGGTAACCTTTCATGGTCAACATCTGATAGAGGCCTAAAAGATGCATTTGAAAAGTTCGGAAATCTTCTTGAGGCTAAGGTAATGAATAGTGAAACTCTCTCTGCAGGACATCTTTTTTTTTTACTCTTAGTCTTTAAAGAAAATAACATTCTTGTGTTACTGATTATCACCATCGAATCTGATCCTGGTTAAACATTGATTTTTATTCATCGTTCCAATTACATAAGTTAGTAGGTTTCATTAATTCATAAGCTTTTTCAATGTCTTTGTTTCCACTTCCAGGCTTCCACCTTCCTTTGCATAATCTTAACCCGTCTCCCTTATGAAAACTGTTCTTTCTACCTCCGGATGTCAGTTTATTCTCCAATTTAGATTGAAGACAATTCAAAAGCTGAAAGACTTGCGTACGCTTGGTGACAGTAATATGTTTTATGGAACAAACTAGTAATCATAATAGCATTATTTGTTTGAAGAACAATAAATCATAAACTGTCATGTACTTTATTGTTTTTTGAACACATTTTGGTACTATTCCTTTTTGGTTTGGCCCACAATTCTCATTGTTTTTTTAGATGTTTTAGTCAATCATCAACTTTATTTGACGGAGAACTTTTGTTTGATTCAGGTAGCTGTTGACAGGTTTTCTGGTCGTTCTCGTGGATTTGGATTTGTCACTTTTGATGAGAAAGCATCAATGGAAGAAGCTATTGAAGCAATGAATGGAATGGATTTGGATGGGCGGGATATAACTGTCGATAAAGCTAAGCCTCAACAAGGGTCAGGGAGAGATTATGATGGTGATCGTGGCCGTGATCGTGACAGGGTTTATGATGGCAGTCGTGGATCCAATGGTGGGGAGTGTTTTAAGTATGGGAAACCTGGACATTTTGCTAGGGAGTGTCCTAGTGATGGGGCTAGGGGAGCCAAGTATGGTGGTAAGGGGGATCGTTATGGTGGCAGTGACAGTGACGGTGGTCGTTACGATCCTGATCGAAATGGAGATCGGTTTAGTGGGCGTAGCAGAGATACTGGTAGTCGAGGGGGGTCTGGTAGTGACAGATATAATTGTGATCGTTCTGGACCGTATGAGCGTCGTGGAACAGGAGGTCACCGTTCTAGATAGGCTTAATATAAAAATAAGTGTATAAACAATGTCTTGAAAAATGTTTTAATGATTAAAGAATTTTTTTAATAAAAATAGGTGTCTAACGTTTTTTAGTTACACTTTTTAGGTGTCAATTGTTATATTTTTTAATAATAAAAAAATTATTTTAAAAAATTTAATTTATTTAAAAAAATCCAAACTTTTAATGAAATTATAAAAAAGACTAAAAAACTAAAATATCTCATTTTAACCCTATTACCAACCATCATCGGCCATTTTCGGTCACCATCATCGTCGAACACTTGGGTTTTGATCGGAATTGCACGGCGGTTCGAATGGTGGTGACAGTGTGGCTTATGGACGTTGGGATTGGTCGGAATCGACGAAAAATAGTAACGGTGGCTTAAATCCTGCGAATCTTTGAATGTTTCTCTACGGTAAACAGTGATACTTTACAACGAATGGTCAATGGGGATTTGGTCGGGAGTCGACGTCGGTGCCGATTCCGGTGATGATGACGATCACGGATGGTCGGTCGACGACCATGGAAAGGGGAGGGGGAATATTTTATTTTTTAATTTTTTTATATAAATTCTCAAAATTACCAAAACATGACACTTAACGATAAAATTTAATGGTATTACAGTCCAGACATCTAAAAATCTTCGATGAAAATATTATGTACTTATTTTTAACAAAAGTTTCTTTAAACATTCAAACGTTTTTCGAGATAAAATTTATTCATTTATTTTTGTATTAAGCCTTCCTGATAAGATGACTTTTTGTTGTATGCTGATCCACTTTTCTTGTGCCTTTTACTTGCTAACATCTTCTTTTCCGCTTTCAGAATCTATTTCTAATTATCATTTTTCTAACGGAAGCATACCTTGATTGCAGCTGATGAACAAGGGTTGCTGCTTCTATTGTGCAGCTGATTTCAGAAGTCTTTTCCACTTTTATTGTCCCTTTTAACCTTTGAAGTGTGACACTTGGCACAAATCTACAACTATTTTTGAGTTCCTAAAATGCTGTGTTCGAAATATGGTTCAATGGATGATGGAGCATCATGCTTTCTTGACTTGCTCTTGCAAATATGGTCTTTTGGCCTCTGAATGCTGCATTTCTGTGGTTCGTGCATTATCAGTAACACCTTTACCTATGTTTAATTCCAAAATACGAGCCAAAATGCCACAAATTAATTTTCTAGCATTCAAATTTAAGCCATTTATTGATTTATACATCAATTCAAAAACAAAAAATTTCCAACCAAACTAATTTCGTTTTTAAACAGTAACTTAACAGTTCATAATTATAACATATAACAAATAAAACTGCCTGTATTTTACTTTAACTAAAATTTATCTTAATACATGTTTAATTCTATTTCTTTTTACCGGATCGTTAACATACAGTCCATTTTTTATAACTATAATAATTTATATAGTATTCATTAAACTACTATTAGGTAAACCATTACAAACATGTTTTAAGCATAGTTTATACCAAAATATCATTAACGCTTATATACATGTCAACTAGAAAATCAAAATACATCGAAGAGATGTCATTACTGATACTGGAGATATACTACTCAATAGGTACGACGCCGAATACTCCTTACTCCGATTTCTGTTTTTTTACCTACGCCCGAAATTTATCACACGCCAAGTATACACTTAGTGAGGCAATTATAATAATAGTCAATGCAATACAACACATAAATATAAATAAATAACAATACTCAATGCATTACGATCAATTTATCTATATTTCAATCATATTACCATATGTTAACATGAAATAAACCACATATAAAATTTCTTACCAATATACTTGCCATCCATCCAAAAGTTCATAAGCTTATCCATGTGTTTATCATTTATTAACTAATAAATCATAGCCCAAATATATGCCTATGAGAACCCTGGGTACACGAGTCAAATATGCATCGAAGTGCTAATACACATAAGGTTGTGCCCACAATAATACACATAAGGTCATGCCCACCATATGCACTAAGTGTCCTTTATATACACTATAGTGATAAATCAAATATGCAACATGCTGTTGGACTCTATGACATGCCAACTATACCATTGTCCCTAAATGACATATTTGGGAATATATTCTACATTTATTTCATCCATGACAATGTATATCAACATAATTCAACATTGGACAGTTCATACTCGAAATAACATTTATTATATAACATAATAAATAAACTAAGAATCAATGCATTTTATATTAACTTTTGACATATTTAAAATATGTCAAGTATATGATTAATGACATAAATATCATGCTAATATAAACAACGTAAACTCATCGTAAGTCTTCCTAATGATGTATAAAACATCCATGTATCAAGTTATGTATGCATTGCACTCACCTTGACACTTTTTATACAAGTCAAAATATACACCTCGCTAAGCATTAAGCTCAATCTTTTTCCTTTCCTTTGTTGCTAGTTAGATCCCTTTTTGATTGATGTCTATAATTACATCAAACATATAACACAAATAATCAAAAGCACATGTTAGAATCCATCTAACTCATGCGCGTATAGTGTAGGAAAAATTCATAATGTTCATTCCAACACAACATTATAATTACAATATATCCTACACTTCATTTCCACCTTAACTTACTTGAATTTACCTTTAAAATCACAATTTCATCTTAAACCCTTATTTTTATCTTTTAGGATTTAAGGACTAATCATAAAAATTTCATATTTCAAGTCTAAATCCAATAATTTAATCATTAAATTAATCTGTGAAAGATAACAAATGTCATAAATAAGTTACGTGAATTTTCCTATAAATTTTTTCTTAAGAAATCATATGGCCTAATATAATCCATCATATTCCAAGGTGTTTTCAAGCTTCAAACAACAAATTTAAACATGTATTGTAATTTTCTACCATAGCCTTCATCAAATTCAAGCTTTGAATATAATTCTCAAACTTTTCCTAAAGTGTTATTTTGGTCACCATTAGGATTCAACCATTCTTCACATTTTCAAGCTTGAATAAACATGCAAAGGCATACACCATAATATTCTCATCATATGTAACATAAAAATCAATTCAAAACATCAACTCCTTAACTTTTCATCTTTTCCAAATGGGTCCCTAAAGGAAAACTAATGATTTTTTCATCACTTGGAAGTTGGAACACGAAAAACAACATCACAATACCTATATCATCATTTTCAAGCCTTGAAACCTCAAATTTCATCATCCCTTGATCTACCCTTTTCATAAATTTAGGGTTATAAGCATGAACAACATGAACAAATGGTACCAAATGAAAGAAAATTCAATGGAGAACAAAATTAGATTTCATGTCTTAACCTTAAATCTAACTCAAAATGCTTAAAAATCAAAATAAAAAATTTACCTATATCTTTGTTATAACTCACAGGGCAACAGCAATTCAAGAACTCTCTTAAAATTTAAATAAATTTAAAATTCATTTTAGTCCAAAATGACTATTATGACCTTAAAATCTAATAATCCTAAACATTCCAAATATCAAATTTATTATCCAAGAGCTGAAATTAATCCATGAAGTTAGTAGTTTACAACTTTACCCTTGTAAAGTTTCAAAATTACAATCTTGTCCTTTTTAATCCAATGGCTAAGATTCAACATGGAAATCAACTTAAATCCAATGGTCCACATTAAATCTTATCATTTTAAAGTATGGAAAAGAAAAAAATTTCCCTTGCTTTATCATCTAGCAAAATTTCCTGAATTTTTTATTTGTTCCGATTATCCGAATTTTCCTCAAACTTTCACACTTTATATCTTTTGAAACAAACTATGTAAAAAAAATCTAACACCCACGAAAACATCATTCTTAGGGGTAAACTATTCATTTATGGGACTAGATTACACAACTTTTTAAAATTACAGTTTGGTCCCTAAACTTTCTCAAGTTAATACTTTGGCTACCAAACTTTCAATTTATTCATTTTGGTCATTAACCATATTTTTGGGGTATTACATTATCAACAGAAATTGCCATTGCTTATGTCTGAGTTCTCTTTGAACTTTTTTTGATTCCCTGTGTGGAAGATGGTTTGGTCTGTGGTTGGTTCTTAAGGAAGAATGGTGGGGAGGGAGTCCACCATTTGGGTTTTGCTTCTTCACACTTGAGTGGTAGAATCTTCGTTTAGAAGTAAATGCCCATTTTGGCTGGCCCTGTTTTCAGTATCCTACTAATTGCATAAACAGGAGTCAAGCGGGTAATTTATTTTTATTACATGTTGCTTTGCTCTATGTGCGCGCTTGCTTTGGGTTTCTTTTATTTATATATTTATTTAAGTAAATGGTTTTTGCAGTATTAATGCCGTTGACCTTTTGGCAGGATGCATGGGTTGTACTTTGTGCCCTTTATGGTTACTTGATTGGGTTTCTTTGTTGCTAATTGGACATGGTTATATAAACTGTGAACATTGCGACTTTTTTTTGGGGCGCAACAAGGGATCTGCGTACTAATTGAATATATAAGCACACCCCATGTTCTTCATGGTGCACTGATGGAAGAGGTCCATTTCCTCTAAACCCCATGGTAGGTTGTTTGGAAGCTCTTTGATGAGTTAATCAACTACCATTCTTTTTCTCCTTCCCACGAGCCTATAATCTTTTGCCCTAGGTGAAGATTGCCATTTTTCTTGCCTTGTTTGTGTACCGAGTTCTAGTGTTTCGGTTCTTTTGGCTAAAATTTTAGATGATGCTTTACTTTTCGGTTCCTAGCGTCAACACTCTTGGGAATATCTTACATGCATGAATTATTTGTTAGGTTCTTCTACCAGTGCATTTTTTGTGATATAGATAAAGGAAAGGCTTTACTTAAGATCCCCTTTCATACTGTTGTATGAAAGGGGAAGTCTATTCATTGCTCTTCTCTCTCTCTCTCTTGGTTAAGTTGTGACTTTCAGGCATTGCTAGGGTTTAGTAGTTTGTGTGTGTTTTTATCAAATTGTATGAACAGTCTGTATTTATTGCATAATTTTTCATATTAATCATGTATTTGTGGGTGGTGGGGATTTTTACAGTATTGTAGTGAGAGATCCTTATTGCTCCAACATTTCATTAAAATATTGTCACTCGTCCTTTATTCAAACAAGACACCGATAAATTTATTTTATTTTCCTTTATTAGTTTAGATTTTTTTCAAAAGAAAATGTACAATTCTGTTGTTTAAAAAAATATTTCAAATACGATAACCAATCCGGTATAAATTCAATCTTCGAGAAGTCTACCATCAAACCAAATGATACTAAAACCTAATGAATCTCATAAGTGCACACACGACAAGTAATAAATGAGACAGGTCATGGTCATCATCATCATGATTCATGCATGTACATGGCAAGTTATGTATCCATTGACGGCGGACCATCTTCCAATGCAATTATGCTTCACTTCTTCCCTATATATTCCACCATTAACGGCTCTTCTCATTTCCAAAAAGAAAAAACCCTAGTCTACATCGTCGTTCTTATGATTCTCAATTGCAACCTTCTTTCTCTCTCCATCTCTGAAAAATAAAATGGCAAATCACTGTTCTCTGTTGAAGTCTGAACCGATCGCCAAAGAAGAGAAACCGTCTCCTTTCCCACCTCTAGAAAATTCAAGCTGGAATTACATTGATGAACAGTATCATGAGTTTTGCATGCAACAAAGCTTTTACGATGAACTTCCTTTGTCGATCGACAGTTTCTACTCAGATCCTTTATTATCTCAAGTTGAATCTTTTTTCTTACGTATACAATATTCAATCATTCATCTTAAATTAATATATTGCAGATGGTGGTGAAAATGACAATGTATTCTGGGATGAACTGGGTTTCTTGTTTGAGCCTCGCAAATACGAGAAGCCAGTGCTCAAGGTTGAAGGAGAAATGATGATAAAGAAAGAGAGCGTTTCTGGCGATAAAAAGTTCTGCAGGGAAGAGCAAGGCAAAATTAGGGCAAAGTTGCTGTCTAGGAAAGTAATCACACAGTACTTTTACATGCCCATTTCACAAGCAGCGAAAGAGCTTAACGTTGGGTTGACATTGTTGAAGAAAAGGTGTAGGAAAATCGGAATCCGAAGGTGGCCTCAGCGGAAACTTATGAGCCTCCGAAATCTTATCAACAATATTCAGGTACCATTGACATTAATAGCATCTGTTACGTATCCAAAGACAGTATCAACTCAGAATTTGATAATGTATATGTTCTAGATACATAACTGTTCAAATTTGATAATAGTATCCGATAAATGATGATAAATTTATGCAGGAGTTACAGGAGGATGAAGGAGAAAGGAAATTTAGGGAAGTGGTGGATGTATTGGAAAGGGAGAGGAAGATGGTGGAAGAGATGCCGGACATGGATATGGAATACGAAACCAAAAGACTTAGGCAAGCCGTTTTCAAGGCTAATTACAAGAAGAGAAGTCTCGTCTCGACCACTGTCTCGCAATCTTCCGTATGTGGTGGTGGTGACGGTGGTGACGGTGGCCTAGTGAGTGATTTGGATTTGATTACTTATTATAGGGGTTTATACGACAGTTTTTCATCGACATTATCTTAAAACATGTCACAAGGATTAATTACACAAGTAGTCCATGTTGCAAATATACATTCATGTAACACATTTTGATATCTTCTGAGTCGGAAACTAAATGTTCATCCTTTAGTGGAAAACTGAATAAGTGGTCCGTTTTGGCTTCGGAATCTCAAATTTTTCATATATACTTATAAATTTATTCATAACAATTAAAATAAATGTTCTATAAATATGATGTCATTGTCTGATTCATTAATAGCGTATCAATTTATATATATTTTACGTAATAAATGTAAGAAATAAGAACATTGAAAATAGAGTATTAGCAATGATAATTTTATTTTATTAATTTGAGATAAGTATAAGGTAATATATGTTCAAAGATAACTCTCAATCATTTGATATTGAACGCTTACACTCCTGTTATTCATTCATGGTGCTAAAATGGTGGATATCAAAAGAATAACAATAATTCATTTAGCATCAAAATCACTTGATTCATGTTTAGTAACGATAATTAAAGAAAATAAAATAAAATATATAAATATTACTATTTTATAGAGAATTATAATATTGAAATCAAATTTATTATATAATCAACATAACCTCAAAATCACAACCTAAATCTAAACATAATCCCTACCCACAAACTTGGCCCAAATTATGCCTGAACCAAAATCAAACTACCTCAAACATTTGTATATTTAAAAATATTATAAAATAGCACGAATCCCGATGATCTCAGTGGTAAATAAATTATTACTATTCCTTAAGGTCTTAGGTTCAAGCATCAAGAATGTCAAAGGTACGAACGTTCAATCTCAAATGATTGAAAAATATCTTTAAACATATATATTGTAACATCCTCAATACCGGGTTAGTGACTAAATTGTAAGGTTTCAAAATTTGGTGATTTAAATTAGAAAAATTGAGTGGTTTAAAGACTTATATGAGAAATGAGGTGTAAGATCAAATTGAAAAGAATGAGGAATGAAAGGATAGTATGGTCATTTGCAAAGAAAAGAAAAATATAATAATAATATATGGTATATATAGATACACGTGGAAGGAAGGAAACAAAGTTTAGAGGTTTCTAGAGTTCTCTTATTTTTTTCTTCTTCTTCTTCACGTGTGAAGCCAAGCAAAGGTGAGTTTTCTCTTGAGCTGATTATGTGCTGAAATTTAAGTTTAGTTTTGATTATTAGATGCTAAGTAAGATTAAGGAAAGATTAATTTGCTTTAAAACAACAAGATGAAGAGTTTATAAGGATTTAAAGATTTGGAGTTTTTGAATGAAATATCGAAATAAAGTTTATATTGAGAATTGGAAGTTGAATTTGACTTGTCCCGAACTTGATTAAAGGATATGAAGGGTTAGAATCAGAATTATATCATATGGGAATTTGAGTGAAATTCTTAAATTCTATGTGGAGGAATGGATTTTGAAGTGTAAGAGATATTGAATGGGGATTAATTAGTTTAAATAAGTGTATGAGAGTTAAGGACATGAAAGGGGATGAAATATGAAACATTTAAGTTGTTTTGAGTAGATTTTCGGGATTTAAAATGAATTCTGAGCTATATGCATCGATGCACATTCAAGGTGCACCGATGCATCAAGGGTAAATCTTTAGAAATTGTTCAGTGTGTATCGATGCACAGGAAATGCATCGATGCACCTATTAAAATGGAAACATCGAATGCAATTGGTGCATCGATGCATAAGGAGTGCATCGATGCATCCCCTTAAAATGAAAACATCGAAGGTGATTTGTGCATCGATGCACGGGTACTGCATCGATGCACGGGTACTGCATCGATACACATGCTAAAGAATGCATCGATGCACTGTTGAATGCATCGATGCACTTCAAGAGAAATAGAAATAAACATTTCTTTTGGTCTAAGAAATGATAGATTAGAGTATATTAATTGGATACTGATATGTATCAATGTATTATTATGTAGATATTGAACGTGACTTTGCTTCAAAGTAATCGAAGGGTTAGAATTGATTCAATTCAAACAAGGCTAAGGTGAGTGCATATGCATAACATGATTATGTTAGTATATTCAGTTCTAGACTTGCGATAAGTCTAGATTTAATATCTTGATACATTATTCATTCAATATTATTAAAGATGATATGAATTCATACCATATGCATTATGGGATATACTATGCAGATTGTGGTAAGTCTATTTTCTAGATTAGAGCTTATATATGAATGTATGTGTCATATGGGATTGAATGAGTTACGAGATATCTATATTAGGTATATGAAGTGTGTGTGATGTGTTTTTTATGGTTTATATGTATGAATGAGCATATGTATTGACATGTTACAGTATATATATTATATGAGTTGTGTAAATAGGTAGATAAATGTGTTAAATATGTGAAATAGGTAAAATGATCAATATGATTTCATAAGAATATGAAATAAGAAGTATGGAAAGGACATAAGAAAGAATATGAAATATATAGCATATGAATATGAAATCATATGAGGGGTGACATGAATTATATGAAAAATAAACTACGTGATTACAAATATATGAAAATATGCTAGTGTGATGGGACCTAGGAACTAGTATACGTGATATATATACATTTATATAAGTTATTGGATGAAAAAAATGAACAAGAGATAAAAGAGATGAAGGATAATACTATAGGAGTATGATAAAAACATAAATGATGACATGTATGTATGTAATGGTTATATGAAAAGGTATAGGTGATAAGATGATCATATGAACATGTGATAAAGAGCTATAGGAAAAGAAAAATGTGATATGATGTGTGAATATGTAATAAGGTAAAAGGCAATGCCCATGATATGAGTTATGAGAACTATAGGTATAGTTGGCATGCCAAGAGTCAAAGAACTACCTATGTCTTTCGAGACATATGGACAGTATACCAATGTTCTAAGGAACATATGGATAGTTTACCTAGGTTTTTCGGGACCTATGTATAGTTACCGAGGATCTTTATGACCTCTGGATAGTTACCGAGGATCTTTATGACCTCTGGATAGGTCATTCGAAACATTCATTGAGCTGTGGTGACAGCATACGTGTGCACAACCTCATAATACTCGTATACCTTAGGTTCTCAATAGTGTATATGGGCTTAAATAGGACATAACGAGGATGTATATAATTGTATCTTAATATGGTATTATTATGATTTATATTGTCTCATATGTGGTATAATAAATGATGGTATGATAGAATAATTGCGTTTGGATAGTAGACGACATGTTTATATTTTTAGTAATTCTTTATTATGTAATTATGCCTCACTAAGTCTATGACTTAGCGTGTAAGTGTTTTTACACGTAGGTTTCGAAGAGCAGGAGAATCAAGAATAGGAATTTGCAGATCAACATATCTCCACTCAGCGATCAGATCAGAAGGAAAGTCATAGTAGATATTTTGTTGTATGTAGTGTGTTGGCATGTAAGAAAAGTGTTAGTTACAAATGCTCTGATTAGTTTTGTCTTGTTTTGGTTAACTCGTGTACAATGACAATGTTATTTTAATAAAAGTTTTAAATTTCATTGGTTTTCGTTAAAAGTTAAAAGTTTGAAAAGTCAATGTGACACCTCAGACTTGTATCCGGGTCGGATACGGGTTGAGGGTGTTACATATATACTACCTTATATTTATCCTAAATTTATAATATATATATATATATATATATATATTATTGTAAAGTAATCTAGTAAAAATAAAGTGACATTATTCACAAAAACATGCCGTATTAAAAAAACATATATATATATATACTATATCTTCAATAATTCAATAAAAATAAATTAAAAACTATATATAACTACCTGACAAAATTAATAACCAACCGATATGAAAATTAACTTTTTACATCAACAACATTAGATATAAATCATTTAACAAAAATAGTTTTCACTACTCATTTATTTATTAAATCCCTATAACAATGCCGATACGACGTTGTTTTTAACATCTAAAACTCGGCAGAAAAGTCATCAGAAAAAATGTATATTCTTTAGTATTGTCTTTAGCCAAAATATTTCTACAAATACCCCAATCAAAAGCTTAGATTAATTTAATCTTAATTAATTTTAATAATAATAAAGTTATATATTATTTAGAAAGGGCAAGCTTGTTAGACTGCAACACCGACCACGCGGCCGCCCTTAGTTATTATAATCCAACTTTAATCAATAAAATACTTGTTGAATCTGACATATTACTCTTTTGAAAAAAAAACTTGCCCATGTAATTTTCTAACTGATAAAATAAACAAATTGCCATATGTTTCATTATTTATCTAAATTATTTTTTAAATAGGATAAACAAATATTATAGATAATAAGTATAATTACAAATGAAATACATTCTAAATAATTATTTTAATAATTAATTATTAAAAATATTATATTAATACTCACATTTTATAATTATTATACATCTTTCGAATCGCTTTCATAAGATCGTTCTCTGCATATCAAGACTTTCGAAGAATTTTTTCATAGGTTAGGCCCCAAGAGAACATCTTCGTAGATAAAGTCTCTGAAGTATTGCACCTCTAAAGAAATCGCGACCCTTTGATATGATCTCTAGCATGTTCAAGTGATCTGTCAGAGTTAATATACTGTCAGTTGATCAAATTTATTGAATCTATCAACAAATGGATGACCATCATATCCTATCTTTACATTAAAATTAAGAGCTAATATAAAACCTCTCGATCAAGAATGAGAGAGGAATACTAAAATCATCATCTAAATTTTTTTCCTCTTCTCAATTCTTATATATAGAAACAAGAATTTAAACATTGACCAATCATCATTTAATCGTTGATCACAGGTTTTTTTTACCTAAATCAGAAATTATAAAATGCTTAAAACGACCACAATTCAAATGTTATCCTCAATAATAATAAAAAGGCATAATGTCAAAATTAGCTCCTAAAGTTTGTCAACATAGTTATTTTGTCCCTTATTCTATTTTTCAAAGTATTTTTGACCTTTA